AATTATAATAATTAATATTATATATGTACGTTACACGTATTACGGTCTAGGAAAACGCTGCAGTTGTGAGTGTCATAATATTATAACATAGGTACAGGACAAAATGTAGATTTATTTTTCTTTTCGATACATCTAATTCTCTTCAAGCGTGCGGCCGGACGGACTGGACGAAGTAACAAACGAGACTAGGATTATTCGTGTGATACATAACACAATTTTTGTTTAATAACCATATAAGACAACTACCTATTATAATTTATAGCTGCAATCATTGCAACAATTTTGTCTTTCGTCTTCGCTAATCGCTATATATTACGCTATTTTACTGTTATATTGTAATCGACTGAAGACCGAGCGTCGCCACTTTCACCACTGCAGATAATTAAATTATTTACCGCAAAATACTTGTAGGTTACGGATAAATTAATTTCGATTTTTCTTTACGTGGGTGAGAGCTTTACAAAATCGAATTGTTATAATATAGTCTATTTTTAGTTAATCTCTATATTATGCGGGTAAGTATTATTTTCTGAGTTTCCGACACATCAAATGTTGATCAAAAATTTGAAACTTGATTTGTACATGTCATGTGGATATAAAAAAATCCCATAAGTTAATAAAAATGTACAAGATTATATATTAAGATGAAATTGTTGGAAATCTATCATTAAAAGTTCAAAGCATTATTTAAAACATAATGTGGGTTTGAAAAATAAATCATTATAATGAAGCCATTTGCAGTTTAAGAATATAATCTCACGACTGGTTGTCGTCGGACACAATCACAAGCTTTCGCCTCAACTAATAATTTGTTTTTATTCTTGTGTTACGTTTATATTTCTCTCGTTCGGGCACCATTTGGTAGTTATTTAGTACTTAATATGGTCCGTATTCGTCGACGTCGCTTTCAACTATGCTGCTGCCACATCGATCTCCTTTCATAAATATAAATTAATTTGCGTTTGTGTACGTACACGTGCATAAATGGTGCGTCTCTCGTCGTCTGAGAGTTTCGTTATTACTATATTGTTTACAGTATAAAAAAAAACATATTCTTTCTAACCCTCGCCGCATTGTCTATTTTATTGTTCAGTTTGGTGTTGTCGCCACCTGCAACGATTCTTTTTTTCGTCTTCTGATGTGCATTTTGTTTGGTGTGTCGTCATCGCAACCGAACGGTTTGTTCACCCCCCCCCCCCCCCNCCCCCGCCATTATTATTCGACATTAATACCCTCCAATTTTTATTTGAGCCTATACGTTCAGAAAAACTTAGTTAAATTACAGATGTATAAAAAGATTAATGACTTTTTCGAGACCATTATATTTTAAATCAGTGTAGTAGAAAACATCAAAATATTAAAAAAATATTCGTAAATGTACCTAGGTATAATATAGGCACATAAGGCACCTATAATATTTATAGTAATTTATTCAGCATTTTTATTAAAAGTCAACATTTTTCCTATTAGATACTAACATTATGATTTTTTATAATATTCTAAAAAAATTCTCCTCCCTTGGTACCGTTTATGGTACGCGTACTTATTTAAAGTTGACAACATTATCTTAGATTGGTTTGAAGACCTTGGTTTTTGATTAGTCTCTAATTGTTGTAACAGTTTGTATACAGGACATTTTAAATACTGATACTGATTTACTTATATATTATGTTTCGTTAAAAATATGTGATATATAAAATAGGACCTTGCTTGATGTATGAATTTTTGGCCAATCCTGCGGTTAGGTTAGGTCTAGTTGAAACACTGCAGTACAGTAAACTCTCTTATCACTCTCTTATCTATGCACTGACTTATTATAGGGGGGTTAGCATATGAAGCATTAACCCTTCTCTCAAAACCAATTAGAGACTTTTATTTTAGTAAAATTGTAACATTCTTTAAAATGTTCTACCATTAAATGTGAATGAAATATTATTAAGATTTACAGGATATTAATTGTTTTTATGTTTGTGAGGAAGTTAACTATTGCTAATATTATCATAAAAACCAATAGACAATACCACGGTAAAATATTAGTATTTCTACTTCATTAAAATAAAATTATTTCTACACCTATCATAAAACTGTAAGATTATTATAACATAATCTCAGATATAAACAAAAAACCCCATTTTCAGACTAAATAAGTGCCTAAGGATTATTCGGGGCTAAATACCATATTTAGACCACTTAGTAATTAATAAATAATAATCAAATCCTAAACCCAAAAATGTAACAATCAGCAATCGATGGACTAATTATCGTCAAGACTATAACCTAGATATACCTACCTAATCCGAGATTTATCAATACCCAGTACCCACAAATTATTAGTTAAATTTCTATAATTATTTGATCAACATCGAAGTACCTAGTGCGTTTTAGTCCCCCCCCCTCCCCTCACAGTGTATTTCTAGCCATTCTAAGGAAAATTTAGAAAATGTAATGAATATGGATTTTTTTTAACAACTTGTAAATAAACAATTAAAGAGAAATTATTTCTTGCTCAAATCTAGCTTAACATATCTTTTAATAAGTATTAAAGAAAATATCCAAGTAAAAAAAGTATTTTTAAAAAATTGAAATGTTTAAGTAAATAACATATTTTTTACCAATTACACATTTACATTTTACACCTACTAAAAATAAATCTATTTTAATTTAAATTGTTGAACAGTATATTAAGATTTAACCTATGATGGTACCCATGTCAATTATATATATTATACATAGACAATTATATAATAACGTACAAAATTAAAAAATATTTTATGATTAGGTTTTTTATTTTTATCATACCTTTTCTTTAATTTAACGGATATATATTTGGCCAACTCGATATTATAAATTATAGTTACACACCATTATACGATTAAAATCTAAGAATAACACTAAGCAACACATTTTTAATTTAAATGTTTAATGTTATAAGTTATTAAAAACTTTTAATTTAAAAATATTTAAATAAATATATAGGTACCTACATACAGCCCATACAGATATAATATAATATTACTGAATAAGATACATGATAGAATTCGAATTACATCGCATTACATATTATAACCATAGGAATACGGTTTAAATGAATAATAATTCCATGTTATTAAGTACCTAATACAAAAATGTATTTCATGTATACGAGTTGACATTTCTACATTTGAACAAAAAAATAAGAATACTGCAGTGACGTTATATAACATATTATTAAAACAATCAATAAAACAATATAAAAGCTTATACAACCTACATGAAACATGTATACGTCTGTTTGTATGTATACATTAACATTTTTATACATTATGCATTCAATTTAAACTGAGGCGGCCATACATAAAACAATATATTAATTACTATATGGGTACATTTTTCTGCAATTGTTATTACAGACCGTTGAATTCGAAATTGTTTTTTTAAGACTAAGGCATCTTACTAAGATTTATCTTTAAATCAAGAAAGGAGAGTGGCATTTAAACAACAGTTTTAAGCTCCTCCAAAATGTAATTTTCACCCTCTGTAAATATCGTTGGCTTATGGAGCAATAAACAGATTCGAGACTTCGTGAAGAAAACATTGGTACTTACAAACAGAATTTGAAAAATTCAGAAAATCATGAAGGGCTGACGTTTTTTCTCTACATTATTTTATTGATACCTAAGTGTCTAAGTCCTACAATATTTGTTCACAGACGAATGGCATTTTGAACTGGAATGAATTTTTCCAAAAGCAAGAGGCCACGATGAAAATAAACCTACTCTTTCGTATTATATACAGCCCTGCAGTCGTATTGACGTTTTTCTATCTTTTAGAAAACCAAACGTATAATAATAGGGCAGTCTTGTATAAGTATAATAGGTCACGGAGTATATAATATGTTAGAATATGGCATTTCTGAAAATACATACATTTCATACACAACAGCAAAAGTGGTGGATTTCCAACCACCGTAAAATTTATATAATAATATGCTTTATGCTTGTATTGCTTTAATATTAGATAGATGACAGATGGTTAGAATTATAGCCATACAGTGTTTTTTTTAAAATATTTATTTAATTATTTCGACTACAACACACATTAAAATATAGTTTTTAAATAGAACGTTCCAATAATATTCTTTTGGGGACACATTTCTTTCTATATAAGCTCCAGAGTTAAACTTTAATAATATGTATATATTGTATACGCATTCTAATTGTTTTTATTGCATAGGTACCTTGTACCTATATGGATTAGAATTACACTGTATAAACTTTATAGCAAGACGTATCTAGGCGAATAATATTGTACTTGCATAATTATGCAGTAGGTAGTTACGTTTGTTTTGCCTAATAGTTAATATTATATAATTATTACATTTTAATGATTGATAATTCAATAAAACTGTGTTCGATATCAGAACTAAAAAACTATAAAATATTTTAATTAAATTACTTCACATATTATACTCATACGCACACAGTATCTAAACCGCTTACTACATAATATATATATATATATATATGTATACATATATTATATATTAAATAGGTGTGTGAGATGTGCCTATCACATAATATACGATCGTTGTCGAGAATACGCCCTATAAAAACGCGCCCGCGCCGACGCCGCCTGTCGTATATAAATATATTACAGTATACTGTATACAATATTTTGTTCATCATTTATTATAATTTATTACGATTAACGGGTACGATATTGTATGATGCCAAATACACAACACCTTATTTAGTGTAAATGTTTTCTCTATGCGAATATTGCACCTAAGTATATAGGTAGGTACCTATATATAATATCAAAATAAACAATATATTATATACCAACACAACAGCCGATGATAATGCGTTGTACTCGAGCCGATACAAAATCCTACACACATATTATACCAGCTAATATAATAATATTGTGAGCACACCCTCCACCAATATAATATAATATCTAAGTATCTAACTCTCACACACACACACACACAGGATTAGTATATTATGTTGTTCACTCACTTTTTTCGGCTTTTCCGGTTCTTCTTGTTCCATGGTGGAACGGAAGTCCGCGCGGCCGCCTGATTATTGGTATGGAACAATATTAGGTTGCGATATTCTTATATGCTTAGGCCATGACTGGGCCACCAAGGTCCACCGTTGTCCGTACAGATTCCGGAGTGGCGTACGACCCGTCTATTAACTAGATTCAATATCACGCTTACCTACGACGACGACGACAACGATGATGATAATATTATGATATGTTTGTATATTAATCGTACTAGCAAAAAACAAACTCGCACGGCGGGCGTGCGGTCTAGAGGTGCCGATAGCGATAAAGATACGCGAATACGCGACGAACGAATTAAGCACGCACCACCACCGGGGCGGTGTATCCGGCGAAGAAGCGCCGCCGCCGGTGATCGATCCCGCGGATCGGTGTAAATATTGCAGCAGTGCGTGTACAGGGTGTCTCGCGGGATTTCGTTCTCTCCCTCACTCTCCTTCTCCCGTACCCGTGCAAACCTGTTCGCCGCTACCGTGGTAATGGGTATAGATGTATATTACCTATAATATAATATCGTTATTATACGATAAATACCTTACAAGAACAAGAAGCTCGCTCGTTCAACCGGGCGCGGTGAAAATAATGTACCGGGATGTTTGCACCGTACGTTGACGTGGTTATCCCGGTACCGCGTAATTGTATTCCGGTTTATACCAACGAATTTCCAGACCCAAGTATAATCATCGTCTTATTATCTACAGGCCGCACCTTTTCCAATAAACTTCAAGACTCTGCTGCGACCGTGTGAATATTGTTTACGAAAATCGGCGATTTGTCTTCGAAATATTTACACGAATTTGTTTTCTACAGAGATCCCGAGAGGCAAGAACACAAGACGAGTGTTGTACCTGTATAAACTTTTCAAATTTCAAAAAAACACTAAAACTTCTATGTTATACTTGCATACGACCTGTTTAATTATATTGCAGAATAGCAGAATACATCGTAACTCTATTTATACATACATACAACGAGCGGCCGACATCGTATTTCAAAGATTGGAGTTCGAAAAAGACTGATCCGAACACGACAACCCTCGTGAGACACCCTGTACATATTATATAGGTATGCACCTCTGCAGTACACGGTAGGTATATGCGGGCTTAGGGGTGGAGCGTGAGTGCGTACGTGTGGTCTGATACGCGATCTCTGCGGTTGTCGTATCCAATTTTGTTTTCATTTTCGCTCTCATTTTCTCTCGTTCGCCTCTTTTCTCTGTCTCTGTCTCTCTTTCTATTTCCTCCGTCTCGAGACCGGTACTTAAGCGCCAGTGCGTCTGACCGACGGTGTATAATAATAATAATAGTAATAATAACGATTTCGTCTCGGGGGCGCAATCGTTATTATACACCGACGATTGTGTAGACGAGGATGAGCGTCTACTCATATTATATTCATGTACAGACGTACAGTTGTCAGTCAAAGATGAGTTTAAGTCAAGTTTTATTATTGACTGTAACTCGACATATCTTGTTAAATATTAATAATTCGGACATTCGGTGTAGGACGTATTCGTATACTATATACACATTTGTTAAATCATGTTGATAACATTTCTGAGAGATGTATACTTGGTTAGAACTAGAGAAGAGATTTTAGGTTTTCACATAATATTTATTTATTTATTGGGTTTTTGGCAGCTCAATAACAGTGGTAAAAATTGTGGATGCTCTGTTGACTAAAGAATTCGTGGAAAAGAATATAGTTTGTATAATATTTTAGCATATTTTTGAGGCTTAAATATGTATAGCTAATTTTTCATATACTCGTATTAGTTGTATTGTATTATATTGTTTAAAAATAAAATATAGCTGTTCATTTCTCGAGTGGGAAATTATGTCATAACACAAACAATATGTACCCATTTTAAAATATTAAATAACGATTTAAATCGTTCATTAACTTGTTTAAGACATTACCTAATTAGTGTGCATCTATATCGATCTTTCTACTTGGTAATTTGGTAATTAAATTGGTAATCTTAATCACTATGGTCCTAGGTCCTATCGTATACTGTGATGTAATTCACTGTTCGATCAAATGGTTTATCAATGACAAATGACCTATAATGTTCAAACCAGGATCATACACAGAATCATAATAAAGTATTATATCTAACAATTTAATATAATGAATACTAAAAGTTAAATTACATATAAATGCCCTTTTAATTCCCTAATTTTAGTAAATACTAGTAACACAGTTCAAAAAAAAAAAAGTATGACATGAATGCATATTTTATCAGTTTTTAATAGAATATAAATCCAAAAATTAAAATTTTTTTAAAGCATCGTATTAGTGATATTACTAAATAGGTACCATTATATTATACTTTAAACTTTAAATAACATAAAAATTCACTCTTTAATCTTATAATATTATTATCTAGTGGTATTTTTATTTTTTATTTTTTAACCAGTTAACATTTTATAGTTATATAAACATATATATTAGTTGAGTTTTGAAAAAAAAATGAAGAGCTAACTTAACCTAACCCATAGCGGCTGTGGTATATTATATATAATACCAGGCAAATCACTCTCTAATGTGGTATACGTATACCTAGATGCATAATATATCAAATTCTGTTCGCGGTATAAACTATTATGGAAACTATGGTAGCCGTCATGTAAAAAATAATAGGAGTAACTGTGTTGACGGGTTTTGATCCGACATTCGATACGATTATCGTAAATACGATAGGCTTTGTGATAAATGTCGACGTTTATTTCAGTGAAATATACTGATTCAATGACAAGACAATAACTATATTTAAAAAAAAGGAGTTGGCCTATTTTGATTTAGGACGGTGTATATTCAATAGCCACGCGTATATACACATGTATAGCCCGAGTATGGGTAATATGCTGGTCATGTCGTTCGGTACTTCACCAAGTTCGTGGCAATGACCGTGTTAGAAAAATAGTCAAATGCTGAAATATTGAAACTATTTGTATGGTTCGACTAATTTTAGGTAGGTAACTACCTATATTTTCTATCTTTGCTCCATTCTCAGATCATCAAAACAAGTCACTTAAATATATAGGTACAAGCTCAGTCATTGATTACAACGCTAAAAAAAACAAATTTTAAAAAAACGCAACAATGAGGAGGTTGAATATTTTTGTCAAAAATGCAAGGATTTTAATAAAAAAAATTAATGAGTTTTTTGTAAATTAATCTTATTATTATATTATATAGGTACACCCATGAAAATGTTTAAAATAAACGCATTTTGGCGTTAAGGATTGAACATTTAAAACAAATATTCTCATAAATCACTGTACTAACCAAAAATTTTAAAAATATATATAAACGAATTTTTGTAATTGATATTTTAAGTTCAAATCTGGATGAAATTAAATATTTAAACATATAATAACGACTTTAGTTATTTTGTTGTAATTTAAAAGTATTATTTGTGGATACTTGAAACTTTTTAAATATATTATTATATTATATACCCACACATAATAACATTTTCAAATGCAATTTTTCCCTCAAAAATTAATTTAACATCCTGTAGGCTGTAGTATACAAGAATCACAACAATATTATAAAAATACTTAGTAGGTAATATTATAAAGTGGCAAACTATCTTCGATCAGAATTGTTTTTTGTATACAATAATTTCATCATTGAATTCAAATTTAACACATCCATTACAGTGACTTTTCTAGACACAAAGACCTTACAGCACAGCAGAGCGTTATCCAATTACCCGTTTTTTATATAATTTTAGAATAAATAGAGATTAATTTCATATAAATTAATTATAAAATTATATTTTTACTTGAAATTGCATGCATATAATTTAATAACTTCATAAAGTTAGGTTGAGTCCATTAACAAAAAAATCCTGCCCAGTGCCTAGACCCTTTAGTGGCTAGGCTGGTCCTGAATATTTGATGACCCATAAAAGATTCATCGACCTAGTTATAATCAGTGGTCGAAGTAGGGGAGTATAGTGAGATGGCATCTCTCCACTTTTATAATTCATATTTTCTATCCCTCCATTTATTTTGTACGACTGTTTAAGCAATATAATATGAGGACTATATAAATTATGAAGGGCATCCCTCCTCTTATCTTGAGCCTCTTCAACCACTAGTTATAGTAAATATAGAAACATAATTATATATTTATGTCTAATAAGATTATAAACATTTACATCTAAACATAGGCTTATAGATACCTAAATCTACTGCAGTTTGCAGTTATAAAATATGTATATTATACTTGTTTCATTGTTATTGTATTTTATTAATAATGACGAGGGTTGGGCGCTTTAACTCTATACCTAGTTCGTTTACAACTTTTATTTTACTCGACTCCTTAGTCCCGTGACCCCTAAAATCTATAGTAGCGTTTTTGATGGTGGAACTTGCACCTTACTGATTAATTTGGAAACTTGATTTATAGGACTCTATTTAACTTGTTAGCTCGCTTATGCATAGATTTGCAAAAAAAATTGGTTGTAAAGTAGGTACCTATGACTTTATAAAACGTATTTGTATTTATATTCAAATACTTTTAAAAGACAGTAGTGTTTGAATGCGTATTTGAAAAGTATTTTTAATGAGACTGAGGCGACGGATGTGTATTCGAGCACGACATAATATTGTATGGCCTGCGGTTTTCCACAGGATTATAATCGACAGGGTGTGTTTTCGTTTTACGACGGTAAAGTGATAAAATAATATAAACACACGCGTATAATAGTATTATAGGTGCTTATTCTACATATATATATTATACAAGCATAATAATATTACGGTACCCTCACCACCGTACAATAACATGACGAGGCTTTCGTTTTCATTATTATATACACCCCGACTACAACACGTCAGCACGTTATTATGTCCACAACTTCAGCATATGATAATAATGATGTCAGAGACCATAGTGAAGATAATGTACAATAGATAAGTATAGAATAATATAATATAATGGCGACGGCGAAAATTGAAAATAATACGAACAACGACCGCACAACACAATTAATCAACGTTTTATATTATAATATATATATTATAGTATATTACTAGGCTAAAGACACGCATATATTGTTGATAATATTAATTTGTTGGTATACGCACTCATCTGTACTTTTCGAGTGTCGGAGTGGTACACATTATATTATTAAACTCAGATATATACCGTGCTGTGTCCCTAAAAAAAGAGTATATACACAGTACACAATACCTAACTTAGGTCTAAGTACATAATTCACGTGTGTCTCAGTATAGGTACCCTATTCATATTTTTAAATTTTGTTAGAAGTACATGAATACAGACTGTTGGATAATGAA